GTCAAAGAGTCTCTTTTTCTTAAAACCTTGCCTTTCAGTACAACAAATGTGCAGGTCTGACTCACAGTATCCAGGAATCTTCCCTGAAAGGACTGCTTCTGCTTAGGGGATACTGCATTGTTCCAGCACTCAAAACTGTTCTTGGGGGAAATGAGATTCTTCCTCTGGTAACTGAGAGTTCTGGGAGTATAACTAGATTTGGATTCTTTTTGGCATACAGCTTTCCCAATTCTTCCAATAATCCTAAACACTTACATAACACTTTCAGTATTCAAAGTGCTTCTTGTACATTACTTTGTAATCATTACAGCAGCCCTGTGAGGTAGGCCAGTACTGCAAATGGCAGCTGAGGGAAAGAACAGTTTGTCTACAGCTATGTGGCAAAGATGAGATCTGAACCAAGGACCTCCAGTCACAGGGCTGGTTTTCTTTGCCACAGTGCAATACCTGTTCTATTCTCACTCTGACACCTCCTTCTTCTCAATCTTTTTCATTCTGACAGCTCATTCTCTCACTCAGTTTACGTTCAAAAGGGAGAAAAGATGTTGAAACAATGAAAATTGCCCTCTCTGGCACTGTCTCTTTCCTATGGGCAAGGTACCATTAGGCTCGGTAATATATCATTTTTGACAGGAGGACATGAACAATCCAGTCTTTCAAAACATTCCTGTGTTTTTCAGGACACAGAGGAGAATATAGCACAGATGATCATCCACACATTTACTGATATGTCACTGTCAGGGGCAAATTAGGATGAGGGGGCATACTAAGGACAAACTGGCAGAAAACAAGCAAGCAGACTGGGCAGGAGTCGGGGAGAACTGGGGCAAAGAAGCCAAAGGATCCAGCTGCAGGTTCTCTGTACAGCCAAGGAGCTCTAAGCATCAACTGCCTGATGGCTTGCCAGCAACCACCTCTTGCTCCCGTGTATCAAAGCTGCTGGAGAACAGGAGCCAAAGAAACCAGGGATGTTCCGGGGGCTGCCCTCAAGTGAGCTCGAATGCAATGGCAGGGCCGGGCAGGGCTGAGGAGGACCAGTTCCTGACAGTCATGTGTCCTTATGGATTGCTGTAATTAGTCACTGGAAACATTAGTGTTACCTACAAAATACACAGTAACACTATAGGATGGAGAGACAGTGTCTGAGAGCTGAAAAGGGGGAAATGATTGGAACTGGAGAAATGCTGAAAACAGCTGCTATCCTATGCACGAAAATTAAACTTGTTTTGCTTCAGACCATGAAGGAAGGGGAGCTGGTCTGAAAATAGCTCACAAATGTGCATTTTATAGCAGTTAAGTGAACACTGTTTCTCAGCAGTGGGGCCATTAATTCTAGTGCCTGGAATAAGTCTGCAAAGAATGTCATTGACACCTATTGGTTAGCACTGGCCATGTGACGCAACTCCCACATTCAGGTTGCTTCTCCTCCCATTTCACCTTCAATGGATTCACATTGCCATCCTCCTTAACCCCATAGTGATGCATAAAGACGTCTGCGGTGGTCTTTCTCTCTGGGATTCCTTCAACTGGATCTGGTAGAAGCCTTCGGATTTCCTCAGCTGTCCACACACAGAAGGCCCCTTCTTGCTTCTCTTTTGATTGGACTGTGGGGTAGGAATCAGCATCTTCTGCACTGTAGAACCCCCCTGACTGAAAACACAAGCAACAGCACAAAGCGCCTCAAATGTCCATTCCCCAAGCACAAACGCCACATCGACAAAGAAACAAGAGTCTGGCTAAGGAAGTCTCAGTCATATACATGGTCATGACCAAGCCCCAACGTGGAATCTGGCCTTGTAGTTCACATGCCAAATTCCTGATTTTTTTTTTAAAATGAAGCTGTAATTCTAAAAACTCCTCATCTAGATCTCACAGTTGCTGAGGAAAGCTTGAACATGTTTGCTACTGCCGACTAAACATACAGCAAGCCGAGGAGCAGTGAATGAGGATCCCAGGAGGCAGGAAAGGGGTTCTGCTCTGCATACACTTACCAAATTCCCTGCCCTTTGACAGAACCCTACAACTGGGAGGGGCCAAAAGGCATCTAAGTCAACCCCCTCCAAGACAGAACCATTTTACCCACATCAGTTGACACAATCAGGCCTCCGTGTAGCACAATACACTGCAAAGGCTTCCTAAGGTGGCTGCCCAGAAAACATGAGGCACCTTGAGTTTTGCTATCTTCCTGAACAGCCAGGAAAGCAGGGCTTTCCTGACTGAATAACAGCCATTTTTTTAGCTTTTTTTAAAAAAAGGTTAGAAATTTTTGTTTTAGTTGAAAAACAATAAATGCATTAAATAATGTATTAAATCAATCATTCCAGATTACACCAAATTGCATCCTTAGTAATCCTACTCCCTTGAACCAATCTTATCTCTCTCCTAGTTGCTGCAGATTTATCTTTTTCCTCCTACTTTCTCTTTTGACCCTGCCGAAAAAAATCTCCAAAGAACTCTAGAACATTCATGATTACATGTTTTCCAAAATATTTTAAAGTTATTTCAAGTTGTTTTGTGATAGAACAGGCCTACATAATTTGCGACTGACCCAAGCTTTGTGGCTTGACGGCCTCCCTGTTTCCCCAGGCCCAGGCAGGCAGCAAAAACAGAGACGTTTGACTGAGTAGAGAGTAGAGTTACAACTGGTAGACCCCATTCAGCCTGGTTGGTCACAAGTTGTACAATGCTAGAAAGACTAGTAACATCAAAGGATTAGAAACACCTGTGAATGCTTCAAGTGTTTCAAAACAGCCAGTCTTACAGGATGAACTGCTGCCATGGAGAGATTCAGGACACCATGGGGAAATGGGGCAAGGGGATTCCACCACCTTTTGAGCACACCGTCTCTGGTGATGTGCAAAGATTTTCACCCTCAAGTACCATTCCCCTGTTGCAGCTGTAGAAGAGAACTTATGCCACAATGTATTTGACAGCCAAGATGCTAAAGGACTGTGTGGGTTTTTCTGCTAACATGGCTGCCTCCTCTGGAATCCCTGTTAGGTTAGAAGGTCTGCAAACGGTGACTCTAGAGCCAACTATAGCTTAGTGCAGAACCAGATATGTCTAGTTAAAGAAGAAAACCCAATGTTTAAGTTTAGGTAGATTTTTTTTTTTATTCAGGGGTCTTGTTGTAGAAAAAGAGCTGCCGGAGCTCATTAGCATAACTCATTAGCATAACTTATTTGCATATGCCACGCCCCCTGACATCACCGGAAGTGACAGAAGGCCACACCCCCTGACATCACCGGAAGTGTGTCAGAAGGCCCGGCTACTTACCCTCCTGCTTCATCCTCATTCCCAAACGGAATGAGGATCGAAGCAGAGGGCGGGGTAAAGAAGGGGGCGGGGCTTCACAACATGACCGCCCCGCCCCCTAGAGGTTCTCTTCCGGAGCTCCGTACCTGAGAGCTCCCCCCCGACTAGAGCCCTGAGAATGACCAATGTGTGAAGGGAACAGCAGGCAAAGATTTTTATGGGACTGAAGAACTTCTTAAGGATGCTGTACAGAAAGGGAACTGATAGAGGTGATAAGAGGTCCATAATCCAAGTAGCAGAGGGCGCCCTGTGTCAGCTTGAAAGCGTGGAAAGAGACTCTTTCTCACCTATAAGACTGCAGTCCTCAGGGACAATACAGGACTGAACTGGCTGTCGTTGCAACAGTTCCCCATGGACGCTGGAGACTCAAAGACAAGCTTAGCATCTAATAGCAAGGTCCCAATGGGGTGACTTACCTTGTCACTCAGATCCCGGGAGACGTAAAGTAGAATGCCTGTGGCAACATCTGCAAAGAATTCCTCGCCAGAAATCTGTTTTAAGACACAAAATAGATTTTATTCCAATTATAATGAGATTGCATATGAGAGGGAAGGAATTATATTTGGAGCTCATTATTTAAAAAGTGGATGCAGGGTGGGGGGAAGGCTGTTAAATCCACAGTGAGAACCGAGGGAGCATAATTTTTACACCAGGCTCTCCAAGGAACACACTGGAACAAGCAACAGAAACATTTCTGACATATACCAGCACACTACGTGAACGCTCAAAAAACTCTGGGTAGCAAAAATGTTGATTGCTGGGATCGCAGCCTGGCCCACTGAGCCTCCAGTGTACTGCTCGACCTAATGAATAAATGGTAGCCTTGGGACACAGGGTATTCTAGTTCTGATCTTGATCCTGCAATGACTTGTTGGGTACAGTCATTTCCTAATTCAGAAATAAACAGCGACAAAGATACGTACGGTTGAGGGTGCTGCAATCAGCTCGCCTTTCCATTTCTCCATCATGACTGCCCCACCTATCACTGATCCGATACAGCTCCTGCCCCCAACTGCCCTCATTGATCCCTTCCCCCAGCCTGCCCCAGCCTGTGCCAAACATTCTTTTTTTGCAGCAATTAAAATTTGGGACTAAACCAGGAACATCGTGCAGACTTAGTCTGATTTCTCTGATCTGCTCTGCACAGTTTGTTCTAATGGAATTTAGATTTGCTGTTTGAGGAAAAACTCTGGAGCACAGAGCATGGATAAATGACTGGAATCTGCACCCACGTGCACATTTCTCTTCAGGTTGTTTAATAAGGTTAACAAGCTGTGTCCATTATGGTGCCAACAGCAGGATATGAAATTGAGGCAACCAGGATCATCACAGGATAGGGAGGAGGCCACCCCAGGCAGCAGGCGGCTGGGTTCTTGGCTTCCGTATCGAATACTCAGAGCTGAACTGCATCTGGGCATCCAGGTAATGGGCCATTAAAATTAGTGTGGAGGAGGACAGTAGCTTACCTGTAAAGCTCCTCTTGCTGAGAATCCAGTGTGGTATCAGTGCCATTTTTACTAACTGGATTCTACCCATACCCCAGTCTTTCTTTAAAATATTTTTACTCTGTGCTTTGCAAATCATCATATGAAGAAAAGGATGGGCACTTCATGCCTAAGGATCTACTCCACCTGCTGGAGCTCTAATATCAACCAGCCTGGGCCAGTTATAAAATGGCTCCCAAGGAGGAAAGGCCAGACACAGGAGCCATAGATTCAAAGCACAAGTTAAGACTTTCCCCCCCCCTTAATCATTTTAAAATGCTCTAATTAATGAGAATAATCATATTTTTAACACTACCCTTTTTTTTTAACCTATGTGCTGCTACTCTGCCATAATTTCTATTCCTGTTCAGGACTTCTTAGAATGACTCTAGCCAGTCAGGGATCACACAGTGGCCATCTTGCTTTTAGAAAGTGTAATTTGGAATTTGGAAATTGACTGAGAGGAGCACCAAAATTGGTTTAATGGTGATGTATTTTACTATTTGGTATTGTTTTACTGTTTTATCTGGCGATATGCCCTGTAAGCCGCCCTGAGCCTCCGGGGAGGGCGGGATAGAAATGTGAATAATAAATAAATAAATAAAATGACATCACATGCTACATTTAGAAGCTAGTTACATTTAGTGCAGTGTTCTGCGTCCCATACCGGCCAACCCAGTGTTTCCAAGAAGCCCAGCAGCCTACTGCCTTTGAATATAGAGGTTCCCTTTAGCTGCTGTGGCCAATAGCCAGTAACGATGTGTCCAGTCTCTTTTTAAAGTAAGCTAGGGTAGCTTCCCTCATGGACATCTTCTAATAGCAAATTTCAGAAATGAACCACTCGGCAGAGAGGACAAAGCTGAGGGTGGGGGTGGAGAGACCTAACATGCTCTTACCAGGGTCCCCTTGGGGTTTAAGAAAATCTTCTGGATATGCCACTGACATGATGAGAAAGCAGAGTGGCATCATTTAACTCTGCATCAGGCTGCCCTCTGATGATATTCTTCCCACCTTTGTGAAGTATTCTAGGCCCACTTGCTGAACAAAAGTGGGAAGCAGTTGGATATTCTTATGGAATTGGGAAACTCTGTACAGAGTGGGACAACAGGAGGCAGATGGTACAAGCCGCCCACACCCAACGTTTCCCAGGACAAATAACTGTGGTTGACGTCCCAAGCAAATGCATTCTGCCTCAGAGCACATACTGCGGAGGGGACGTAATACTCCTTGCTCCACTGAACCATTTCTTCTTTCTCTCTCCTCTCTGAACAATCCTGCACACTCAACAATGCACAAAATGACAGGCCTACGTGTTGTTCTCAGCTTTCATTACACTCCCAAGGTGCCATGTTACTACCAAGAATAATTTCTAGACAAAAGAAGACCCCACCCCACACACCCTGGGCACCTTGTTGCCATTTCCTGGTACTGTCACAGTCATCCTGACAGGAACAAGAAGCCAAGAAACCTTCCCATTTCTTCTCCTTTACACTGGATTAATCTGGGAACGGGATTCAAGAATCTTAGTTTTGGTATACATTTGTGTCTTCTCACCTAATCTCCATCCTCACCTCAACGGTGCATGTTAACTTGCATGTTGCCTTAATGATGAGTAGGAAAAGTGAGGTTGAAGAGCGTTCAAATACTTCTCCCAACTGGCTGCCAACTGTGAAGCCTGCCTCAAGTCCTGGGTTCACTGAATCTCAATGCAGAATCCAAGTAATGGAATACCCCCTGCAAATGATTCAGCCTTGTTCGTTCTTCTGGCCTGGAAGAGCTGGTTACAAGCGTAGTGTTAAGTTCCCAACATCACCCCCATACATGCCTGAGTTGGGTCACGAAATAAACAACATGAATGCAGAAAGCTTAGAAGAAGAGAGCAGTCATAATACTGCTCAGAGAACTGCAGTATTTCCCTTTCCTTCCGACATGACTGGGATGTTCTTGTTAACCATTCAGTCGTGTTTGACTCTTGGTGATACTATGGGCCAGCTCTCTCCACCTTTTCCAATCTTATACTGTTTCTTTGAGTTGTTCCATGCTCAGGCTGGTGTCGACTTTTATGGTGTCTAGCCACCGTGTTCTTTGGTGGCCTGGTTTCCTTTTGCCGCTAACCAACCCAAGCCTAATTGCTTTTTCTAGTGAGTTCTTCTGCATGACATGGCCGATAAAAGTCAGTCGCAGTTTTGTGATTTTTCCTTCCAATGGCATGTCTGGTTTTATGCACTCCAATACTTGCTTGTCAATACTTGTTTGTCACCTTTGCTGTCCAAGGAATGCACAGGAGCCTTCTCCAGCACCACAGCTCAAATGAGTTGATTTTCCTCTTGCTTCTTCATGGTCCAACTTTCACAGCCATAGGTTGCTATGGGGAACACAATAGCACAGACTAATCTGCATTTGGTTGCTAGGCTGATGTCCTTGCTGTTCCATATTTGATTTATGCTCATCATTGCTGTGCGACCCAGCGTGATTCGATGTTTTATTTCTGGGCTGCATTTGCCATTTTGGTTGATCTGTGTTCTAAGAAAGTGAATTCTTCCACACATTCGATTTCTTCATTGTCAACTGTTGTTTTGATGTTTCTATTCTTCTCGGTGATCATGAACTTGGTCTTTTTGATGTTTAGGAAGAGGCCAAACTTCTCACTTTCTTCTTTGATTTTCTTGAACAGGTATTCCGGGCCTCCTTTAGTTTCCGAGAGGAGGATCATGTCGTCAGCATATTGAAGATTGACTGGGATAGAAACAACCAAAGGCAGCTACCCTTCAGAGAACAATATAAAATTCCACTGTTGAGAAAATGCACCTAATTTCTCCTTTCTCCCCAAGGTATATATTGTTGTTATTGTTGTTATTGTTGTTATTGTTGTTATTGTTGTTATTGTTGTTATTGTTGTTATTGTTGTTATTGTTGTTATTGTTGTTATTGTTGTTATTGTTGTTATTGTTGTTATTGTTATTATTATTACATGGGATTTTTACCCCGCCCACTCCCAAAGGGCTCTGGGCAGCTTACACAGTATCGTGTGTACACACACTTACTAGAATCCTAACTATGGCCACAAATTCAGGGGGATGGGAACCCTACCAGATACCCTCCGAAGGCTTTTTCCACAGATGTTCTTGCTTCTCCTTCCGTCTTTTTTCTGGGCGGTCACATGCCTCTTCGCGCAGTTCTTTCTTAGAGGGGGGACTTCAGTTAGCTGGCTTCCACAGCGGCCCTTGCTGGCTCGTCGGGCTTGCTGCATGCAGGCGATGGGGATTACATCCTTCCGGCTCCAATCTCTCCAATGACGCCGCGCCGCTGCTGACCTCCGACCAGTCGTTGTTCCGGGGGGCCGTTCCTTCGCTGCTGCTTCTGCCGCTGTTTTGCCGCCATTGTTGTTACCGGTGCCGCTATTTTCTCTCTGGAGCCACAGTTCTTCCGCTTCTTCTTGCATAAGACCTGTTTTTGTCCCACTCTTTGCTTGAGATACGTGCTGTTCATATCACCACTATGAATCCAGCCATGCATTTCCTCTGATAACAGAATTTCTAGTTATGAAAGACAGGTGATTTCCATTCCCTTCCCCTGCAGATGTCACCTTTGCTCCCTTCTGTCATTCATGAGGGTCTGCTGACCTTCCAAGAACAAAACTTTGGAAGGCTCAGTGAACTGCAACAGGAGAGGAATGCAGGGAAGTCCTGCTCTGCAAAGTCCATAGATGGTCAGATACACACTACCAGTTCTTTCTGGCCCTCTTCTAGAAAGCCCGGCTTATTGCTTAGATTAGAGCATCAGTGAAGGAATACCTGAAATGCTTTGGCGTAGGCTACTGCCAGCTGTCCCTGATCATACAGCATCTTCTCAAAGTGAGGGACATGCCAACGCTGGTCAGTAGAATAACGATGGAACCCCTACAAGAGAGTGAGAGGAAACAGTTTTGTTATCATTTTTCCCTAGTTGAGACTGTGGTTAGATCTTGTTTTCAGTGGAACGTTCTCTGCATCTTTTAAAAAAAGAAAAACCCTGAGGACCTAACGACATGTTACATTTTCTCCAGGGATGTCCCTGAATCCAGTGGAGAGGCGTGTTCTGAAGTTCTGTGGTTCAGGTAAGGACTGTAGCATGCAGCAAGAGAGGCTCTGGCCTTCCCCTCAAGCCATTTTACCCGAAACAACCCTGAGGAGTGCTATTTTCTCTATCTGGACACGTAAGCACATGTGCAGCCCCAGCTAGGCCCTCAAAATTTACAGACAGACTCATCTAACGCAGTGATTCCGAAGTGGCCAGGGTCCACTAGAGGGATCATGAGCACCCTGCAGATGATAAGTCTAACGGTGAAGTGAAGCTACTGATGCAAATGAGATACACACTAAAGTCTGCAACTGTGTGATGCTTGTGCACAAGAGCACTGCCGTAATGTCCACCAGCAAAGATGGGAATAGAATTACAGAAGCACAGCAAATCCTTCATACCATACACTGCCAGTTTGGTGCAGTGGTTCGGAGCGTGGACTCTAATCTGGGAGAACTGGGTTTGATTCTCCACTCCTCCACATGCAGCTGCTGGTGTGACCTTGGGTCAGTCAGAACTTCTTTCCGAGCTGTTCTCTCAAGAGCAGTCCTCGAAAGAGCTCTCTCAGCCCCACCTACCTCACAGGGTGTCTGTTGTGGGGGGGGGGGGGGGAAAGGTGATTGTAAGCCATTCTGAGACTCTGAGTGAAAGGTGGGATATAAATCCAGTCCCCCCCCCCCCTCCTTCCTTCCTTCCTTCCTGCAGAGATCGGAGAGGAGACTATATACAGTAAGTTTTGCTGTTGCCGTTCTCTTTGGGAGACCCTAAGAAAAACAACAGTGCTATCCTAAACACAGTTAAAACCTTTTAAGCCAATGGACTTAGAACATCATTAACTCTGTTAAGGATTGTATTGTTAGTAAACTTTCCCTTCCTCTACCCATCTTATTGGGCAGCCAGAATGCAGTCTTGTTGGAGAATCTGGCTCTAGGAAGCATAGACTTGTGCTTCATGGGTTAGCACAGGTGTATCTGGGGCTGGCAACCCAGTCCTTTTCAGGATTGCCTTAGGACCTTTGGAAAAGAGTGTCTGTAACCATCCTGACCCACATGATAGATGAAATTATCTTATATTGGACCAGCTGGTCCAATAAGCAATTTGGGAGTCTTCTCTTCAGGTATATAATCCTGGCTGTTCTTTTAAACAACTACTGTTTTTATTCTTCTATGATGCTATGCTGTTGGCTTTATTTTTATCTATTTCTTGAGCTTCCTCAAAGTGGATGATAGAGGTAGATTTGAAAGCTAAAACTGGGATGGGTGGGAGGTGGAGCAAAAGGTACTAAGTCCTGAAATACTTGTGGATCCTTTAGGCCCCGTTCACACGCCGAATATGCCCTGGGAGAGCCACGATTGAATGACGGATTTTCCAGGCACGGTCACACCGCAACATCTGGCAAGTGGAGCGTACCCGTGGCCAACCTGTAGCGTACCGCTGAAAATGCACGATAAAAAACTACCTCCTCGAAGGTACTAGCAAACGGTTTGCCACAGGCTACCTCCGGACTCCCTTGGTGTGATCGGGCCGGCGCGAGGCTTTTCCTTCCAGCCCCTCGTTGATGTGCAGGCTCGGAGGGAAGGAACCATGGCGTGCTGCTGAAACATGGGATCGCGTTCTGGAAGCTCTAATTGCGGCAGTGCAAATAGCCCCGCCTCCCCCCCGTGTTATCCGGCCCATGTGGCCGGGGCCCTAGTTAAGTTTGCAAACCACTATGTTAACATTCTCCTCCGCCTTACCTTGGCAATATGATCATGAATCCCACCATATGCCATCATCTTGAGTGTGTGAAGTGCCATCTGCAGTGCCCGTGCCCCTTCAGAGGTTGACCGATGAAGAGCCCAGTAAGAAAACAGGAAATTCAAGTTGACTGAAATGCAAGAAAGTAAAGAATCTGGATCAGCTGCTTATGCCAAGCTACTCTCCTTCTGGGATTGCTGGACTAGAAGATCTTGAACTGACCTGGAGTAGGAAATTTGGGAGACTCTGAGAATCCACCATATTCTTCATCATAGGAATCTAGCAGTTGTTGGAAACATCTGGTCATCACCTCTTGTGAGGATGGGGGCACATCCTCCCCTCGTGCACCCACATCAGTCCTGGCTAACAGGGCAGACATAATTTTATGGCTGTTTTCCAAAAGGATAGATTTGTTCCGTTTCCACTGGTGGGATGGGAAAGAAACAATTTAAAGCTGTAGTTTTTGTAGTAGTTACTCATGACCTCTGCCTCATCCACCTATCCCTCTCCTCAGAAACATTGTAATCCTTTTCTGCCCAGGTAGCAAGGCAAACCATGTGTGAATACTCCACAAAGGTCACTGAGTTTGCCATCCAGGATGTCATTCGCACATATGAATTCAGAAAGGATGGCGCACAATGCACTGAAACTACAAAACAAAAAAAGGCCAGAAGTAGATGCATATTTTGCCTGTTTATGTTCTCAGGGAAGCATGAATAACCAGAGGAATCCATCCGGATATACATGGTCCCAATGTTTACCGCAAGGTAAATGGAAACATGGCATATACTAGGAAGTGGCAACTTAAACTTCCACATAGTTTACATGAATAAAGAGAGATCGAACAGTGCCATCTTAAGCAGAGTTATACCATTCTAAGTTCATGGCCACAGAAGGGTATAAATACTGTACTGTAAATCATTCCTACTGCACATATAACACTTTCTCTACAGTGCCAAACTTGATTAAAAGAGGCATTACGGGATTCTACGGCCATCAGAGGAAACTGTTGGAATCACTTCCACATGGAGGTAACAGTGACTTCACATGACAGCTGCAACACGTAAGAGCAATTCACTACATTTATCAGTCCTACCATGTGGCATTTCCCCACTCCTGGTGCACTGTCTACTGGCATGGAAAGTGCCCACGCAACAGGGCCAATGTACATAGCACTTTGCCTCAGACTTTGAGAGCCAGTTTGGTGTAGTGGTTAAGTGCACGGACTCAATCTGGGAGAACCGGGTTTGATTCCCCACTCCTCCACTTGCACCTGCTGGATGACCTTGGGCAAGCCATAGTTCTGACAAGAGCTGTCCTTGAAAAAGCAGTTCTTGAAAGAGCTCTCTCAGCCCCACCTACCTCCCAGGGTGTCTGTTGTGGGGAGGGGAAGGGAAAGGAGTTTGTAAGCCGCTCTGAGACTCAGAGTCAAGGGCGGGGTATAAATCCAATCTCTTCTTCTCTTCTTCTTCACATGAAACCAAGCCTTATTTTAGGTATGGTTCAGTTTTAATTTATTTTATTTAAAGGATTTATATGCCAAGGGCAAATGTATAAAATAAATATATATATATAAGCCTTGTAAAAATATTTATTTATTTTTAAAAAACCTGTTGCATGTTTTCACTTGTATAGGGGGCCCTAGCTTGGAAATACTGCCCTCTAGAGGGAGGTGCCTCCTGCAGAGAGGCTGGCAACAAGACAAGGACAGGAGAGGGGAGAGCGCCAAGGTGGAGAAGCAAACAGAGAAGAAGCTGAGGTGTTTTTTCTCCTGAAGTGTGGAGAATTTCTAAAGAAAAAGTTCCTGAGGAGAGAAGCTTGTAGAGACAAAGAAAGGCACTTGGTGAGAGAGTGGCCATCTTCCAGCATGAGTGTTAGTGAGACTTCTTCTGTGACCCTGAGGAGAAATGGCAATGCAACCTGTCTGCAGTTTGTGAGTCAGGACCCAAAGACTAGAAGAAGAAGAAGAAGAGATTGGATTTATACCCCGCCCTTCACTTGGAGTCTCAGAGCAGCTTACAAACACCTTTCCCTTCCCCTCCCCACAACAGACACCCTGTGAGGTGGGTGGGGCTGAGAGAACTCTGACACAAACTGCTCTTTTTCAAGGACAGCTGTGCCAGAGCTTGTGACTGACCCAACGTCACATCAGCAGGTGCAAGTGGAGGAGTGGGAAATCAAACCCAGTTCTCCCAGATTAGAGTCCGCACACTTAACCACTACACCAAACTGGCTCTCCACACCAAACTGGCTCTCCAGCTACTACTGAGATTTTCTTCTCTTCTCACCCTAACTTTGGGACTGTTCAGTATAATTTTTATTCACACTGTTGTGTTAAAAACTTTCCGTTCTAAACCCATTGTTTTGCCCCACCTTTCTATAAAAGTCATTTTTTAAAGTACTGTTCAGGTTTTGAATGGGGCATCCACAATTCTGTGACCACTAGCCTTGCCCTTTTAAAACTAAATGGGTTACATATCTATACATTTTAAATATTAACAATACAATAAAACATATAAACATACAATACAAACACAACAAGGGAGAAAAGTCAGTAAGAGTTTACTGGGGGTACACTAAACAAAACAAAAAAGTTTGTGAAACCAGGGTTTGGATCACAGATGGTCATTCAAATCCTGATTTGCCTCAACAAATGTTGATTTAATTGCCTTCACTCTTTCTCCCATCTCCCACACAGAGATTCAGTTAGTATCCCAGCCTGCTTTGTGTCCAAAGTGGCATCAGAGACAAAGGCAGAATGTCCACATTTGTGCACTGTGCAAAATCTCAAGTAAGGCTTACTGTGATTAATAACCCAGCTTCAAACCATGGTTTCATATTGTGATTTGATATACCCACTCTGTAGTTTGCAGAGTGACCTACATTTAGATGGTCATAGTGACCAGAGTTAGAGGTCATTTCGTAGAAAAAGAGGTGCAGGAGCTCATTAGCATAACTTATTAACATAACGTATTTGCATATGCCACACCCCCTGACATCACCGGAAGTATGTCAGAAGGCAACACCCACTGCTCGGACTCCACTGGACTGTTTTGGATTTCTAGCTATTGGGGGGGTCATGCAGATCTGTCCTCGCAGAAGAAGGAGAGCTTGTATCTTTATAAAACTTGATCTAAAAGGTGCCATTGAACTGTTTTGGATTGCTAGCTGGGGGGGGGGACATGCAGATCTGCCCTCACAGAGGAGGGAGAGTTTGTACCTGAAGGCGGGATTGGGGGGGGGCTCTGCAACTTACCTGGCTGCTTCTTGCTCCTCGTGGCCCGACTGAGGGCTGCTGAGAGCAGGGGGCGGGGCTTGTTGCATGTGCCCGCCCCCTGGGCTCCTTACTGCCAGAGCTCCGCTCCTGTGTACTCCCGCTGGAAATGGCCCCTGACCACAGTTAATTTAATTAAATCATAGTTTTGCATGGTATCTTAACAGAGCCAGTGAGCTATACTCTGGTATTACAGCTGCCATTGAAACCACAATTACACAAAAACATTTTCAGCAGGTTTCACACAGCAACTATAAAGTCAAAACCAGTCCCAAGATATCATTAATTGAAACACTAGACTTTGGGACATTTCCAGGATTGCATACCAAGATGTAATAAGGAAGAAGGTACAGTAGTGACTCATTCAGCCCATAATAATTATGGGACAAACTCATCTCTCCCAAATTCTTTGCCCACCAAAACGAACCAATCATGATGCATTCATTTTCCACATTAGCCCTTTCAAGATAAAACTAGCACCAGTAGCTATTAAACTTGATCTCCATTGCATTATTCAAATGCAAATGTCAACTCCATACCTGTTCTAGGATGCGGAGCAAAACTGTCCGAAAGCCAACCTGGTAAATGCTGTCCTCAGGAGGAAAGTAGGTCCCCCCAACAAATGGTTTGAGATCAGGTGTCAACCATACACTCATTGGCCAACCCCCTCCACTGCTGGTTGCCTAAGGAAAAAGATATGGGATGTGTTAGATTCCCTTCTCCACCACATCTGGAAACAACAGTGAAGAGAGGCTCCCCAACTGGTTGTGCCAGTTTCCCAAGTTTCAACTCCCCACCTGCACAAAGGTCATGTAAACTTTATCAACATCTGGCCTCTCTTCCCGATCGACCTTGATGCACACAAAGTTCTCATTCAGAATCTGACCGATTTCGACATTCTGGAAGCATTCTTGTTCCATGACGTGGCACCAATGGCAGGTTGAATAACCAACTGAAAACAAATACTGTCAATTAAAGAAAGTTTCAATGATGAACAAAGCAATGGAGAACTGGAATTAAGAGATGAAAACAATTTGTCAGGGAGAAGAGACAATAGCACACAACATCTCCATGCAAGTGTATAATTTAAAGGGTTCAGAACAAATGAGGGAGAAACTGGATGAAAGAGAAGGTACATACAACAGGGAAGAAGCTACAACCACAAGAAGGATTCTAAATAAAATACTGGAATGGTTTCCTAACAATAATTCAGGGAGCAAAATAACAGCATAGTTTTAACAGTGAGCTGGAGAAATATAAGAAAAGTGACTGGAAATTCTCCATAAACTGTTTCTACAGTGAAGTATCAGTCAGGTTGTAAAAACTGTTTAAAGCATTAATTGTTTTGATTTTTTTTAAAAAAAACATAGAGGGCTAGAAACGTTTTAGTAGTAATTTCTTAAACTGTTTTCTAAAGTATCCAAGCGTTCTAAAATGATCTTTATCCTCCTACAAATCCCCACCTGCTTGAAACAGCAAATTAAAAGTTCTTCCCAGACAACAGGGCTGCAGTTACACACACTAAATAATCCACTTTCAATGCACTTTCCAACTGGATTTTGCCAGTTCACACAGTAATATCCAGTTGGAAAGTGCACTCAAAGTGGATTGAATGTGGATTATTTAGTGTGTGTAACCACAGCCAATGTCTGCTACTGATGACAGGCTCGATCTTCCTCCACTAGCTAATCTACTTCTGATCTCCCATTTGTTTACTCATAAGTAATCTTTACAGTATTCTTTGCTGATGCCAACAGTACACCCACAAAAGAACAACACAAGGTCATTCCAAAAGGAAGGAAGGGGGATGGATTGCCAAAAAACAGCTAGATGGAAACAGGGAGGCGAATCCACTAGAGGAGGACCTAAGTAGAACTATTTGTAGTCTCCAAGCATAAATTTATCTTCTCAGAAGATTTAAGCAACCATTAAGCAAACTGGCAGGATTGCTTGTGCTGCGTGGTTTTGAAATCTCATATTTGCAATGTATGCGTCTATAAACATGTACATAAAAGTCACATAAATAAAGCCATTCCTTTGTTACCTGATAGGAATATCAACTTATCCTCCCTCTTTGCCTTGTCAAATGCCTCCTGACCCCATGGATACCTGGGAGGGGGGGAAGGGAGACAAGATGCTGGGATTTACATCTACAGCTCACCCCATTAAATATGCCTAAACCAGAGAGCAGAGTTTAAACAGACACATTTCTCCAATCACTGACACCTCTAACTGAATATAACTACAACTGAGAGACTGTCAAACAGTACAATATCTAGAAAAGATATGCAGACAAGGCCACAATAGCCCACGCCCAGCCATGGAGCAGAAGGCAAGGGACACAGTTAGCAGGCATCATCAGCATAGCTTCAGCCTCTATATAGTGCCCAGTGCTCAGTGTCATAAGAGCGTTGCCATGAATGAGCCACTTGAAGATGCAAAAGGACACCTAGCAAAAACCAGGCGCTGTGCTGAAATGTCTCACCTACTGCCTGAACATCTGGCTTATTTTGAGCCACTGAGAACACACTATGAATGGATGTGTTTATTATTTATGTAGATATTTATATCTTGATTTTGTCCCAAATGGAAATCCAAAGTGGTTTACAACATTCCCTCTTCCTCTTCCTCCATTTTATCCTCACATTAGCCCTGTGAGGTAGGTTAGGCTGAGAATGCTTAACTGGCCCAAGGTCACCCAGCGAGCTTCCATGGCAAAGTGGGGATTCAAACCTGGGTCTCCCACATCCTAGTCCAACACTCTAACCACTACAGTACAGTGGCTCTCTACACAATGCTGGCACCTGATTCTATACATAATTAGATGGGGAGACACATATGGTGTGAATTCCTATAGTCCATCAGAAATTAGAATTCTCTCTCTCCCCCAATTCCATTCTATGGCACTTAATTGGAGGACTGAGTTGCAAAAATACAGATGGAGGCATTTTGGTCCCATGGTCAAAGTAATCTGGGAGTCAAGCTTTTAAGTAAAATCCTTTAAAATAAAACACAGCCCTGATGTCATTCTTTAGTTTCAAGATTAACTTGTGTCCTCAGATTAGGACTAGTGGTGAGATGTGACTAAGTAAATGCCTCAAATCAGAGATATCTGCCTCGTGCACTTCCTCTTTATATAGAGTCATTACTGTACATACAGTACTATATATGTTTTTTGTCTACTTGTTTGAGAATAATTTTTGCATTCACTGTGGAAGCCACTTTGAGTTCTCAGATGTGGGTGAAAAGTAAGGATACACATAAAAATAAATAAAGTGTCCTTGATTTTTACACGGCAAAAAGATAGGTTCCTGCTCCAAGGAGCTACAATAAAGGCCCAGACAAATGGCAGAGAGGAAGGAAGAAAGGAAAGGGAGACGGACGGTTTGCAAAATTTTGTGTATGTTGTTACACATTCTCAGGTAGGGATGAAAAAGAGGAACTAAAGAAAAGTTGGGGTTTGGGGAGGGACTGGAAAGAGAAGCGTTCTCTCTGTTTGACACACAGGTGTTCTGGGAAGGAGTTGCAGATCTAGGAGGCAATTTGGGAGAGGGAGGGGAGGTACTGAAGGAGAACAGGAAACCTCTGGCTAGTTGGACAACAATGGTAAAGGAAATGTGTGTCCCCTTGCAAACAACGTCTATGATATTCCATTGCTATTTTCTCCTAAAACCATCTGTCTTGCCCACTCCTGTGCTTACTGAAAGAAAACTGCTCTTACCAGTTCACGGGATTATGGGCGTGTTGAAGGAGGTAAGGCGACTTCTCATGAATCAGACTGTTAGTGTACCGAGGGGTGCCGGAATGGCTGTCTTTCCCTCCTGTGGCCATGGCCGAGGCCGTTCTCAGAAATGCAGTTCTGCAACAAGAAACACAGATGGAGAGCTTTTAGTCTGGCTAATCTCCAAAGCCCTGGGGGCTAGATTAGCTCCCAGGCCAGGCCTCTTCTGAGAGCTACACACCTCCTGGTGAGATCAGCACCTGGACAGATTCAGTCTGTGGCCCATTCTGCATCTAGCATTCGCTCCTTTGTACTGACTGCAGAGTCACCCCTGAATGGCCATAAAACAGCCATAAATCTATGCAGACAGTACCATAAAACCGAGAGATCAAAGGAAGCCAAAGCCGGCATGCAGTGTGGAGGGTTCAATAAAATCCGGCAATCAAAGAAAGTGAAACTGGCATGCAATGAGGAGGGGAATTTCTGTCCCAAGGTGGGTTTGATAAAACACCGGAGCGAATGTTAGATGCAGAATGGGCCTGTATTATCAGGAAATGCTACTGGCTTGTTTCATGAAAGAAAGAAGTCTGCAATAGAGACAAGTTAAACGGCAGTCTTCATTATATTATCACATCAGTATCAGAAGACACTACTGGAAATTATTTTGCATTCTCTTATGATGCAGCATGAACTACAATCTCCCTCCCAACAACATATTTCTTAATTTATACTGCCATCCACAAATCCTCCCTACACCTCCTAAATTCTTCCTTTACTACAAGTCCCAATCCTTCCACTAACATACATTTTCCTGTTGTTACCACCACAAATGATTACAAATTATATAGATCTGTTCCCACAACATGCTCCTTACACTCTTTGTAATCACGTAACTCTGTCCAGCCATTTCTTAAACAACATTTAACATTCAAGACAAAAGAAAGTTCCAAGACTTTATTAGGGTTACAACAATTAAAAAATACCTAAGAGAAACAGGTGATAACGTCTCTTGCCAGACCTTCCTTGTTTTCAGACAAATCCATTATTTCTGAGCATCACCTTTACTTAATAAGGTAAATAATCCTCTTATTTCAGAATGACAACATCACTAAGAAAACAGCTAAACAGAAAACACCTCACAATTCTGCAGTGCTCCTTCTGTTTTAAATGTTGCGTTAGCAGCCTCTCTCACCTCCTTAGAAAACCTTTACAGTTCCTGTCAACCTAACAAGACTACGTCAGAGCTATGAATTTTCAAAATGGTGTCAACTCCACCCCCATTCCAGAATGTGATTTGTATCTGGCCAATCAGAAAGCACATTTCTAACAGACAGTAGAGTCAGCACCTGTAAGTATGTCAAACTAGGATATGGGAGACCTGAGCTGGAAGCCAACAAAGATGTTTTGCTCTGATTTTGTGTCTAAACTGTAGTGGTGGGGGCACTGAGTATCCATATGACATTGTCCCCTAATCGCTTTCTTTCTTTCTTTCTTTTTTTTAAATCCCCGGAGGGATATTTTTTTATTTTGCAAATACTACAAAAACTACAAAGAAATATTAGGGAAGGGACTACAACTAAGGATAAAGGAAAGCAAACCACACTAAACTAAAACCCCAAGAGGAGGTTTTAGTTAGTAAAATTAGTAAAGTTTTACTAATTAGTAAAAATGTTAGTAAAAATGTTAGTACACTTAGTTTTAATATCACAATATACTTGTAGAGTTCTTGCTTATAACAATTCGCTATTTATATGTTATTTTGTTAGTTGTTATGAGAGAAGTCTCTGATCATCTTCTTATTCTTTGCTTCAAAAGGCCATTTTCCAAGTCCTTCTGCCTTTACTTCGGCTTTCTGTCTCTAAAATCGTATACCACTCTGGCAGGTCCAGCACCCTTTTTTGCCACAGAATCCTCTTCCATTCCCGAGGTAGCAGAGTCACTAGACTTCATTTCTTCCTCTTTGGACTCTTCATCTGTCCCCAGCTGACGTCTCAAAAATTCTTTAGCTTTAAAAGTGGAGTCTATCTTCTCTCTTCTATCGTTGATCTTAAAGATGACACCCTCCAAAACCGCCCACCTGTACGATATCCCATTAGTTTGAAGAAAAGAAATTAAGTCCTTATATTTTTTCCTCTTTTGTCTAATTTCAAATGGAATGACCTTTAAGGTTTTGATGGTTACATTTCCCATTTACAGTGGAGTTGCTGAAGTTGCTTTTAAAATGGCATCTCTGGTTTGTCTTCTTAAAAACCTAACCACTATTTCTCCAGGTAGGTTATTTTTTTTAATGTAATTGGAGTATGCCCTATACACTGACTCCATTTCGTTTACCAGTTCATCCGCTGTTAAACCTACTACTGGAGCGATGATCTCACCAAGCATCCTCTTCAAGTCTTGCTGATCCGTTTCAGGAACCCCCTGAAACCTGAGAATCATGTTAGCTTTTTCCATCTGTAGCTGCAAGACTCAATTCTCTTGGCAATTCTGCTTCGTTTCCACCTCTCCCAACCTTTTCTTCAACTTCTTGCTTGTGGTGTCTATCTCCACTTTTTTCTCTGTTTCATTCAGCTGAAGCTGCTGTGCCACAAAGTTTCTATTCATCACGGTCAATTGCTGGTTAATACCATCGAGTTGCTGCATCACCTGCTTGAGCATATCCGCCAGGAGTTTGAGGACATCTGCTCTCTCTTCCGGTCTCGGACTCTGACTGCCTGGCTTCGTTTTAAACTTTCTCTGCTGGGCCGCCATCTTTCCCGTTTTGTTTACAGTTTCTACCGCTTCCACACAACTCGGAAAACTCGCCAAACAACTTCGCGATTCAGATAAGTCTCTCAAAACACTTTCGGTTTACTTCCTCCCCTCTCCCCCTTCGTGTTCATTAGCCGCTCATTCACACAAGAGGCGTCCCTCTTTGCAATCACTGTTTTCAATCGTGGGGGGGGATCGCTTTTCAAACTACTCCATTTTATTCAGAACTCACGTTCATTGTCGGTCAGTTTACTTTCAATGCCCCTCTCCCCACTGGCTGCAATGATTCCTACACCTGATTTGGCAAGAGATTGTGGTCAAAGTGCTCTTGGATGCTGTGTGGATGAGAAGGTGTGCATTTTTGCAGGTCCAATGCACAAAAGCACTATTTCCTTTGCAGCAGTCCCTACTACTGCTTTAGTAAATGACGTATCAGTATAATTTAAGCCAATCATGATATATCAATTACTATTTTTTTAAAGCACAAAAGGCCTCTGATGGGAAGGGAATGGTGGGCATGGAGGGAGGGGGCCAACAGCAAGGGAAGCGCAGGAGAGATTACTGTGTGGACACTCCATTGCTTCTGTAAACACCTCTGCACACACAGCAGCAACAGAAGGAACATGGAAAATTATCACCTTGTGGATGTAGCCCTGGGTTCAAATCCCCACTCTGACACAATGCTTGCTAGCCTAGGTGACCTTGGGCGAGCCACTCTTTCTTAGCATAACCTACATTATGTGGTTGTCATGAGAATAAAATGATGGAAGGAGAACCATGTACATTGCTTTCACCCCCTTTGGAGGAACAGTATGAGAAAAATATAATCAAAAGCAGTCTTGGGAAACCTCCCCTTGACTCTTCTAAACTAATGTAATGCGGTAGACACAAGAATGCACTGAAAGTACTTTGGGACATACTGCAGTAAATTGTATTTCAAAAACAGTATCTGAAGGCTGCTACACATCACACATTTTACATGTGCACATGTGTATGTAAAATTGGGGTTTATGCACTTGACCTATGGCATCTTTTCAACTGAATGTCTGGTAGGAAGTCAGGATTGGTCAATGGCTCCCTGCCATGTCCATGTCCATTAAAAAATAACCCAGATATCTCCCATGACTTAAGAATATTGAGACATACAGTTAATTGTATCACTTTTGTTATTCATCTCAACTATATGGGAGGAGACAGGTTTTTAAAATCTCATATAATATATATTTCCATTTGAACAGGAAATCTCCTAGAACAACCCTGAGATTCCCTATGTGCCCCTTCTCTATACAAGGCTTCCAAGGGAAATTTTTGTGACATTTGATTTCACTGATGAACTGTACAGGACTTACAACCAGTTGTGCCAATTCCGTAAGAGACTATAGGCAGCATCCTCCACCCTAAGAAGTCTTCGTTCAAGTGGCTCTTAGGTTGGAGGAAGATCCACTTAAATTGGAGGAAATCTCCTTAGGCAGAGGGAAGGCTTCCTACTATGCTTTGTGGTGTGATACAGGCCAGGATTGTTTTCCACCAGGCCTGAGAAATTTGGCCAGTCACTGACACGGATGTTCTGGTTTCAGTTCTCCAAAGCTAAATAACTTTGTATTGCAGAATCTGGCACAGAAGCCGTTAAAGAATCCACAAAATATGGGAGTGAATACAGCACCCACTGAGGATCACTAAGTCATTCCATACTTACTACTGCATAAGTCCCATAGGAATCAGAATAAATATGTGTGTGGGGGGGGGGGGGCCTAGAACAGAATCCGGAACTAGAAGACAGTCTAGCAAGTCATGAGAACACAGAAACGTTAAGTAACAAAAATCTAGGGGAAACTGCAAAAAAAAAAAATTAACCAACAAGAAATTTGCAAACCTAAATCCAGTTCTGATACCCATTAAAAGTAATAAGGAACAATAGCAACAGAGCAACAGACCAGTTCTCCAGTTCTGAAGGAGTCTGCACTCGAGTACACCAGAGCAACAAAAAACTGCACAAGTACCAGAGGCTGGCAGGAAATCAGTAAAGGAACGAACAGGAAAAATACAGGAGGATAGTTTAAAAAAGAAAAAGTTCTGATCGACATTATAGACCATCATCTAGGTCAGTGCAAAAGG